AGCAATCTTTACAACGCTGGAGCTATTACAAGCCCTGACTTCAGACTATACTACAAAGCTACAGTAATCAAAACAGTATGGTACTGGGGAAGGGTGTAGCTCAATTGGTAAAGTGCATGTTTAGCATGCATGAGATCCTGGGTTCAATCCCCAGTACCTCCTCCAAAAATAAACCTGATTACTTCCCCCTCCACCCCAGCCAAAATAAAATAATTAAATAATATGATGATAAATAAATAAATAAATATTAAAAAAAAAAGTATGGTACTGGCACAAAAACAGACACATAGATTAATGGAACAGGACAGAAAGCCCAGAAACAAACCCATGCACTTATGGTCAATTAATCTATGACAAAGGAGGCAAGAATATACAATGGAGAAAGGACAGCCTCTTCAATAAGTGGTGCTGGGAAAACTGGACAGCTACATGTAAAAGAATGAAATTAGAACATTCTCTAATACTATATACACAAATAAACTCAAAATGGATTAAAGACCTAAATGTAAGACGGGATACTATAAAACTCCTAGAGGAAAACACAGGCAGAACACTCTTTGACGTAAATTGTAGCAAACATTTTTTGAGTCCTGTTTCCTAAGGGAAAGACAAAAAAATAAAAAATAAACAAATAAAATCCAATTAAATTTAAAGGTTTTGCACAGCAAAGGAAAACACTGACAAAATGAGAAGACAACCTACTGAATGGGAGAAAATATTTCCAAATGATATGACCACTAAAGTGTTAATATCCAAAATACATAAACAGCTCATATAACTCATTATAAAAAAAAAAAAACCCTGATTTTAAAAATTGGCAGAAGACCTGAATAGTCATTTTTCAAAAGAAGCCATACAAGTGGCCAACAGGCACATGAAAAGATGCTCAACATTGCTAATTACAAGAGAAATGCAAATCAAAACTGTAATGATATCACTTCACACCTGTCAAAATGGCTATCATCAAAAAGACCACAAACAACAAACGTTGGCAAGGATGTGGAAAGAAGGGAACCCTACACTACTGGTGGGAACATAAACTGGTGCAGCCACTACAGAAAATAGTATGGAGGTTTCTCAGAAAACTAAAAATAGAACTGCCATTTGTCCAGCAAGTCCACTCCTGGGTTTATATCTGAAGAAAACAAAACACTAATTCAAAAAAACACATGAACCCCAATGTTCACTGTAGCATTATTCACAATAGCCAAGATATGGAAGCAATTCAAGTGTCCATCAACCGATGAATGGATAAAGATGTGGTATATATACATAATGGAATATTACTTGGTCATAAAAAGAATAAAATTTTTTATTTGCAACATGGATGAACTGGAGGGTATTACGCTTAGTAAATAGGTCAGACAGAGAAAGAAAAATACTGTATGATATTCCTCATATATGGAATTCCAAAAAGTAAAGCAAACTGGTGAATATAACGAAAAAGAAATAGACTTACCAATAGGGAAGGCAAGAGAAAAGGTGCAAGACAGAAGTAGAGAATCAAGAGGTACAAACTACTGCATATAAAGTAAATAAGCTTCAAGGATATGTTGCACAGCACAGGGAATATAGCCAATATTTTATAACTTTAAAAGGAGTACAATCTACAAAAATATTGAATGACTATGTTGTATACCTGAAACATACAATATTGTAAATAACTATACTTCAGCTTTAAAAAATCCTATATTTGTCTTATGCTTTCAAAAGCATTTAAATATATGTAAAACTAAAGTTTATATAGGAATAAAATAGTAAGCATTATAATTAAATATTTATTTGACAAAGGTTAGCTATTCTAATGAGTTCTGCTTTAAAAAACTTAAGGGCTTGCCTCATATAGCCTGAGGTGACTTTATCATACCTTTAATAAAGATATTTTGTTATAAAATATGCACACACACATATATATATATGTGTATAGAGATATATATATGTGTGTATATATATATAATCTGCCCCCTCCTCTGTCTCACTACTGAGTTTTTATCCCACTACTCTCTCCTCATTTGGATGATTAAATAGCTTCCTAATCCAACTCCCTGATTTGCTCCATGACAACCCACACTGCAGAGTGACTCTTTCAAAGGGAAAACTGTTATCTTGTCATTCTACAGTTTAATCTTTAGAATAAAAATCACCCTCCTCAAGTGTTTAACTCAAACTGCTTAATTCAAAATGGCACATGAAGCCATTCAGACGTCCTTTATAAAGTTCTGGCCAAACAGTGTTCTCCAGGAAACACTGCGTGATTTTCTTCTCCTCACCCCACTTCTGATTTAGATACTCCTCCCCATCTCTCCTTCCCTTAGTATTCCTGCACAATCCTCTATCACAGCATTTTCCTCACTATGTTTACTAAAACTTGTTTTAGTTGCTTGTGTCATATAGTCCATCTTCAGTAAATATTTGTTAAATGACTAAATACATAAATAGAGAAAATGAGAATTATAAAAACATCTTAGAGCGAAACAGGCTACAGATTCTCCACTGGTACATCATCTCACATTTTACATATTTTAATAAATATTCATCTAAAAGTGAACTTTTAACAAATGTGAATCTTAAAGCGGCGTATCGTCATTTAGCCAAGTAAAATGTTAACATTCATTTCATATTGGATTTTTTCAGGATGCTATCAGAAGCCCTCTATTTACTGGGTACATATTTCAAAGATTTCAGAAAGAGAATATTCTCTGAAAACTGTACTTTTTATATATCATATGAAAAAAATTTCTCCAAACTCCAAAACATCAGAAGCTAAGGCCTTGAGTCAACAAATTCTGGATGTCTACACAGACCACAGAGGTAAAGCAGTGAATATTCAAACCACAAATTTGTAGGCTTTCCTGTGTTAGTCATGGAAACAGGTAGTGACCCACTCATCAGGAGTATGTAAACACGAATGAATAGCTGAGACACTAGAAGTCCGATAATGCTCCCTAAAATTTGAGACTAGCAAATTGATGCTTGTGGAAAAGTACAAAGCAAGCAGGGAGAAGTGGGTAGCTGTCTGGTGTAGAATACATCAATCAGACAATGTGACTCCTGGCTTCAGCCCCATCACCAATAATGAATATAATTCAGTCTTTCTGTGCTTCAGTTAAGTCTCATACCTTCTGGGAAGATTTCCTGGGCTATGTTAGTCTCTGATGAACAGTGCTTTTTATTCCCAAATATTAGCCAAAAATTAAATTCACTGATCCAATGAATATATGAAGTTAATGTTTGTTCAACTGACTTTTAAACTGATACCCAAATAATTTAACTGTGCTAATCAGTAATTTATTCTATTTGAATATGACTTATTTCTATTTGAAAATTACCAAGAACTGCATACAACTTTTAGTATTTGATCAATTTCCTCAGTAAATTCTAAGAAGAGGCTGAAGTATGTTCACGTCATAACTTTTGTGACATGCTGTAGGTATTCAATCTGAGGATAACCACGTATGTTTCTAACAAAACTGTGACTTATTTACTGTACAGACAAAGGCAAAATACTTCAATTTTGTGTGTTCAATCCTTAAAATATAATTTAGTATCTCTAAGTCCTTAACACTGATATTAATTATTAGAACAATTTTACAGTAGCTTGCAAATCACAAGTATAGCTACCAAAAAGATGAAGGGCATAATATATAATTCAGGTATTTATTTTTTACTCAGATTTGTTGTTGCAGTGAGGAATTTAAAAAAAAGACATTTAGCATCCAAAGAAGCTTCCTGTATTTGCCTGTGTTCTCAATTGTTTCCTATACTGTCTTTTTCAATAGCAAATATCCAAGCTATCAATCTCATACTTATCCTAATGGCTCTTAGTCTCTTCAATAACCTCTTCCAGCTTATCTTGCTAATGCCTGTGGATTCAAAGACTACACATATGCCACTGACTCCTTAATCTATACTCATGCTCCAAGTACATTCCAAAGTTTGCAGTCTAGTTCCTAGCACAGGGCTTGAGTCATAGTAGGGACACTTAGTAAATGAGGTTCAAATAGATGAGCAAGCTATTAGATGTCTCACTTCAAATGTCTGCTAAGCATCCCAAATGCAATATATCCAAAATACAATTCATTACCATTTTCTCTATATTCCTATGTTCCCCTAATTTTGTTAATGGACTTCCATCTACTTATTCACCTAAATTAGAATCCTCACTTATCCTCAAATTCTACTTCTTTATCCCTTACTGTTCACATTACAAACTTCCAATACTTCAATGATTTAACATCTCTAGTTTCTTACTTCAGTCCTATCCTCCCACCTCAATTACTAAAATAATCTTTTAACAGGCCTTCTTAGCTGGAATGCCCTAATACCTTTTATGATTAACAGTCTTCTCATCTTATAATGATCACTTTAAAAATTGCCTTCTCTATAAGGAATTATTTGTCATTATATCATATCTACTCTCCAGTACAATCTGTTAATTTTTTAAATTATAGCAAGTATCAGACTGTACAATCCCACCCACCTCCCCCTTCTAAAAATATGTCTCCAGTAAATACTGCCAGTGCTGGGGATGGGGTGGTGCTTTGCACTTCATCAATACAAGGTTCGGTACAATCTGGCCCCTCGATGCTCCTCTGGCCTTCTACTCTCCCAGCCACTCCTCCACTCCAGCCATACTGGCCTCTTTGCTATTCAAAATGCACAACAAGCACACTCCTGACTTGGGACCTTGGTTGGTATGTTATTCTCCCAGACTACATGACTATTTCTCCCTCAAAATTCTGCTCAAGTGTCACCTTCTTTGTGAAGATTTCCCTTAATACCCATTAAAAACAGCATCCTAACCCCATTCCCCAGCTCACCCTATCCCCCTAGCCTGCTTTGTTAGTTATTCTGTATTTATTCACTTATTGTCTGGCTTTCTCCACTGGGAAGATAAGCTAAACAAGGACATGGATTATTATCTGTCTTTTTCACTGATACATTCACATTAACACTTAGAACAGTGCCTGGGACAAAGTAAGTACTCACTGGGTACTTACTGAATGTATGAATGAATCTTGCATTCCCAGTATCTGCATGTGCAGGAATTAAACATCCTTTAGAATTAAAAACAAAAACAAAAAAAGAAGAACGTTATTAACATGAGAAAGGGTTTAATAATGGAAGACTTTTCATCTATTACACTGGTATGGGTCTGAGAATATAAGAAAGTGAGAACTTATCTCCCCAGGTCCATCCATAAAAGAGACAATTTAAATTCTAGGAAGAGATAATGAATTTAAATTCTGGAATATAAACGTGATGATTTATGAGTTGTTTTCCACAACTCAAAGCAATGAGAAGTCATTTAAAAATATGATTATGCTATATCAACATTTTCCTGTCAAAGTTCAATGAATATTAGGAAGTTCATTAATTTACCTAACTGCTATAGTGGTGCATTTATAACTGCCTTTTTAACATTAGTTTTTGGGGTTTTGTTTTTTTTAATGGAGGTACTGGGGAAAGAACCCAGGACCTCGTGCATGCTAAGCGTGCGCACTACCACTGAGCTATTTCCCTTCCTGTCAATATAGTTTTTAAAATGTTTTACTTTCAACTCTTTATTAAATCTTCACTTGAAAATATACAGATTGAAAAGACTGCGATGACATTAAGTTTTGAGCCTCATAATATTATAAAAATAAAGAAAAAGAAAAAAAGGAAAATGAGACACTGTCTCCCCTCCTCCCCAAAAAACCTTCATAAACTGTATTGATTCTGGATTGGCCAAAATAAAAAACCTGCTCACTGCCTACTTTGGTCAGACAATTAACAAATTTAAGCTGTAAAAGACTGGATTGAAAGACTGGATTCTTTTCAAAAGAAGGGCAAATACATACCACACACAAATACACACACACACACACACTCAGAGTCACACTCACAAATTAATATGAAAGAAACTAGAGTACTTTCTATGTATTCACTTACTTATTCCCAGAAAACCCCTGGGAGGCTGATTTGAAAGATGTAACATACTAATTAAGGTTATCACATGACTTGCCATATATTAGTCTTGCAAAAGTCCAGCAACAAAATCCAAATTCCTGGTTCTAAGCTATCATTTAGAGGAGTTCTAAATGGACAACACTCTACATTGTAAAGACAACACAGAATTGCTACATCTAATCAAACTGATGCCTTTCCCTGTGCTCCCGTGGTGTTTGATGCTTATCTCCGGTTGAACTCACTCCCCAACCAGACGGGGGGGCTTTGATGTGCTGTCTGAATTATTTTCTGATAAAGTATAAAAGGGTTTTTACTTTTTCAATTGAATAACAGCTTTTTTTAAGGTGCTTCTACTTAAATACAGTATTTCTGGTTTTGCTGGAAAAGAAAAAAGATGGACATCAGTCAAAAATCATTCTCAATTTTACTCCTCATGAAATTATACTTGAATTTTTTTTTCCAGAGGAGAAAGTTGAGAAAAAAAGTAAATTGATTGAAATTAGAACATTAGAACAATGTTCTACTTTTTACTTATCAAACATTTACAATGCAAAAACTGCTTAAATTATTTTTAAAAAATGACCAGTCACTCCACTTAGTCATTTCTTAGTTTCCATATCTGTCATCAACTTTGCTCTCAGACTTGCAGAAAAACGCAGAGAGTGATTCTTTACATTTTCATCCACTTTTCATTCAAGGAACAAGCCTCCTGAAAACATATATTTAAAATTCTGGAAAATACAAATCAACATCATCTAGACATCTCTATCATTACCAGAAGGTCTGGTTCCTCAACCTAATTTCCACTGTTGGTTGACATTTTCAATAAGTGATGGATATTCATTTCCAGAAAACATTACCAGTAAATTCTATGATATCATAGTCTCTTCACTATCCAGACCAAACTGACTAAACCACAAAAAGCAAGAGTATGCAGTTAGCTACTCTGTGAGAAACTTTAGGGCTATTCTGAGTTCACTCTTAGCAAAGTATAATGTTAACTGAGTAAGAGTAATTGAAAACTTAACTAAGGTTGTCTTCCTCCTCCAAATTTCCAGGGCCTTCAACAGACACAAACCAAAACGTTTATACACTGAAGTTTTTTTTTCTTTTTTCATAGACTCAATTTATAAAAAGGGACATAGAAATTTATAAAGGAAATAACATGATTATTTTTATGATACGAATGGTATTACATTTTTTCCCTATGACCAGGAGAGGAAACACGAGGAGCTGCTTCCTTGGTTCGAAGCAGTGCCCACGTCAAGCAAATTCAGTAAATAAAAAATGATTACCAACTGTTTAAATTCATAACTTTTCAAAGAACAGAACATAAAGATCGACATGGACAATGATGTGAAATATGTGAAAATGTTAATGTGCAGATACATAAAGGGAAGGAATGAGTAATATTAATATGGAATAAAATTTATTCTATTTTAAATATGAGTTAAAATATTTTTCATTATCAGAGATGTGGTCAACACTTTGATACACAGATATACTCACTATAATACTGAAAAACTAAAAATAATCGTTAAGCTCTAGCAATTGAAGAAAGGCTTCAAAATTATGGAATACTCATTTTCTTCCAGACCAGACACTAAGTTTATTATCAAAAAAAAAAGTTAACAATAAATCTTAAAAGTACATATTCCACAATATCTTTTTGTATGCCAGTCTTAAAAATGGAAAAACTATCCATTTCAGTTTGAGATTATAAAAATAGTAAAATGCATCTTATGGTTGATATTAAATGACATTAAATGTAGTTTTACTCTCAAACTATAAAAAAATAGTTATGCCTGATCAAAAATAATGCTGCCACTTTATAACCTGCCTTCTCCCCTTGCCTGCTGCTGTCAATATAAAGTTGCTGTCATTCTTCCTTTAATTCTCATTTGAATGAATTGATTACTGACTCATAGTATCAATTTACCCTGGAAGCACAGCACTAAAATGCAAAACACTATTTTCACCATGATATGAATTATGTTCTGATAAGGAAGCTGAAACCTTCAAAATCTCTTACTTCAGAATTATACAATGTGAACTACTTTAGTCACAGAAATGTTTTAATCGGTATGCCTAGAAGTTGTATTTTGAAAAAAATATGTATGTACTAAAAGAATATGGATTTCAACATAAGACATTTACTAAGTTTAATTCTAAGAGCATAGTGATTTCTCTTTCTAAAATTTAGTGGGAAGTTAAGTAAATTTAAAATCAAAAGGCTCAGTGATTGAAACAGTTCTGAATATAGTCATAAAGATACTATCTACACTCTTACTGCATTGTAAGTCAAACACAGGTTGGTATTTTAAAACTTTCACTTGCAGTAAACACTTTCCTATCCTCTATTTTCAAATGACGAGTCGCTAAGATGAAATAACTTGCTCCAGGTCATAGCATAAGAAACAGAATCTCAATCTAAATTCAGGTGTCTCTGACCTTTTAGCTAAGGGCTACCAGAATATGAGGAACTGATTTAAAAGTAAGAAATGTCTGAAGTCTCTATTCAAGTTAATCAATACTGCTTGTTACTAACATCTGCGCAATCATGATGATGAAATCCATGAAACCTTCAGGATAATATATTCAGGAAAGTTTTAATATTAAAACCATTATTTGTATTCGATTAAAAAAGATAATCTATTCTTTATATTGTAACACCTGATTTGTCTGGTTGAATATTTACATCAAAATAGACTTTGTAGGTCTGAACTGTCCAATATGATAGCTACTGGCCACATGCGGCTATTTAAAATTAAATTAAAATGAAACAAAATAAAAATTTAGTTCCTCAGTCACACGAGCCACATTTCAAGTATTTAACTGCCACATGAAGCTAGAGGCCCCTGTACGGGACTCTGTAGGCCTAGAATTTAGGAAAGAGGTCTGGGCTGAAGAGAGACATTTGTGAATCACTGGCAATATGGGTTTTACTTAAAGCCAAGAGACCATCAAGGAAGTGAATATATATAAGGAACAAAAGAGGATCAGATTGCAGTGGAACAGTCTATTAAGACATGGAAGAAAAGAGGAAGAATCGGCAAAGGAGAATGAAGAGGATTGGATAATGAGGTAAGAGAAAAACCAAGAATTTGGTGGCCCAGAAACCAACGTATTATGAAGTGATCAAATGTGTCAAATGCTGCTGATAGGTCAAGCAAGATAAGGACAAAGAATTGACCACTGGAATCAGTAATGTGTATAGGTCACTGGTGAGTTTGAAAAGAACAGATCAGAAATTTCAACAAATTTATAAAAGATGAAAAGTGATTAGAAACAACTGTCTTAAAACTTTACAGTGGACTGCAGCAGACACAGAATCTATCTGACAATGAAACTCAGAGGAACTGTGAACACAGAATCGGCATATTTGGTAGGGGGTAAGACAAAACAAAACCCAGGGGAAATAACTGAAGGTTCACACGTAAAACACTCAGGCCAAACAGGCTGCAGACGCCACATTAAAAAAAAATGGATGCTGCTCAGCATTAACCACATGCGGAAAAAAAAAATCAGTGGCATTGTCTCATTGTCTCTAAAAATTACACTGAACAAACCATTTGGAAAGAATGAAGACTTCTAGAGTGGATACTGTTGTCCTGCTTATTCTCATTCTGGCAATTACTCTGACAGCCTGACAGGTGGACTCATTTATCTTGCCTGTTTATCCTAAATATAAGCTGCCAGTTAATATGTTTTGGCCATATACACAAAGTTCTCAATAGACCTTCTAAATAGTTTGACTACAGAGTTACTTATACAACAGAAGAGGAACACCATATTGGTGCCTAGCCCTTCATTTAAAAACAATAGATACCAAGGATCATGGAATATGAAGAAGAATCACTGGCATAAAAGAAAAACACAGGATACATTAACAGACAAAAAAGCTGAACATAGAGGAAACATCAATTCAGAAAAGAGAACGTAGTGATTCAGGAAGATGTCATGACATCCACAGAACTTTGCTACTATGAAAAAGAGAACGAACAGGACAAGAAAGAAACCATGAAAATCAAATGGATGATTAGTGAATTAAGAAAGATTTAGAATAAAGAAATGAGAAGGCTCTGAGACCGATGAGTTAGAAAAA